AAGTTACGGAAAATTAATTAACACACGGAGACGTAACAGTATTTTGAACTCTAAGTACACATTGAAAGCAAAAGGACTGAGTTGCAATAAAATGATATATAAATCCAGTTACAGGTTAAATACATATGCAATTTTCTTGAAAACAAAATTCATTTGTGCTGTGAAATAAAGACTGCAATTCATTTTACCCAGTAAAAAATAATGTGGAGGTTGAAGCTCTGGACATCTTTTATTTCAATTAGAATTATTGCATATTAAGAATCACAGAATATTGTATTTAATGAAGTTTGAATTCATTTATCTTAGTGTCACTAACCCAATTATTAAAACGAAATATGTGATTAAATTATACTGCAAAGCTATTTATTGTGATTTAACAACACTGTTTGATTTTGCTGTCTGTAAACTACTTTGGTTTGATGTCGAATGTAGAGTATTAGCCTAACCGATTTTCGACCGGGTCACGCATTTTTGAAGATTAGATGTAGATAGAAGATTTATTATTTATCTTAAGTTCGTTTACTGCAGAAATGTCCGATAAATCAAGGTTGCAACACTTCAAAAATAAAGGAAAAGATCAAGATGTAAGTATATGCTGTAAATATCAATTTAAAGTTTGTGAATATAAAAATGTAGACTTAAAATATTCTTTGTTTCAACGTGACTATATACTGAGTGTAACTAACACTGTAGTAAGACTAAGAGGCCTAACTAGGCTAAATTAAGATATAAATACAAAATGGGGCCATATAGGAATTTTACATATTATACAACTTAATTACGAGGCTTTATTGTGACCCGGCATGGTCTGAATGGTTCATACATAAACAGTAGTTGCATAAATACGTTAAAGTAATATTCCCAATAAACTTTAAGTGAAGGTTCAAATTTCGACTTTCAGTTTCAAGGAAGACATTTTTTTGGAGGGAGACGGTGTTAGTCATCGTCTCGTAACGTATTATTAACATTGTGAACAATTATCAGGATAATTTGTTATTAGGTGATGAAGTTACATCAACGGTCAAAGATGAGCACGTTTTATCTGTCAACTGTCGGTGAAAACGACTATGAAGAAGTTTTATTAAGAATTCAGTCTTAAATAAAATGGCGATTTTCGGTATTCTGTGATATATTTTAAGTTAAAATTGGCACACCAGTTTATCAAGAAACGTCATAAAGTCATTGAATGTGATATTGTTTTGATACTAAGATATTCTTTTATTATTTAATTATGGCTGAGCATGCTGAACGATACTGCTGACAATGAGTGAAATCTATAGGAAAAATGTATGGAACATGTGCTATAGAAATATTTACCAAAATCAACAACTTTATTAAATGCATGAATGAATCTAATAATAATAAGCAATGATATTTACAATAAAAATGTTTTGAGTTAATTCTTAAATTACTGTGGAGAAAGCTGTCTAAATAAATTTTAAACTTGTACTGAGTGTAGCTAATTAAATATATTGTTCTTACTTATAAAGATTAGGATGAATTGTTTCGTTTGTTGTGGGTACCCTTGCTGTTAACAGTATTTTTGGTCATAAACCCACTATATCTCACAGGGTTCGTCCAGCTTAGGAGATTTACTTTATCCCTAAATATATGACTAAACTCACAATGTAAAATAAACTATAATATAAGTATACTAATAAAACATAATTTAATAAAACTAGATATATTAACCCTCTCACTACAGATAGGTCAAAGTATGCATGTCATGATTTTTTAGACTTGTATTCAAAACTTGTACTATTTTATAATCATTGTATAAAAATAATCTTGGCATCAAAACATAGTTAATAAATCAAATTTGATATTATACAAGTTTTAACTTCTTAATTGTATAAAGAAATAATAAAAACAATTCTCAAACTCTCCTAGTATGAGGATTGTGACATTTGCTGTCTAGGTCTTCTCTCTACTCTAATTTATTTACCACCCATTTAAAATGTACAGAATTTAATGTTATAATATAGATATTATTCAGGCAAAGCATTATTGTTATAACCTTCAACCTTATTTGTTTATGGAGCTATAAACTAGACAATCAGAAACACATACCACACCCACCTGGCATGTCCTCTCTTTTACAAATTGCTGGTAGTTTTCTCTGACAATTTTATAATATATTATTTATAACCAATAGAAAACCAAAGTTTTAATTTATCAAGTGACATATTATATTACATTGTTTTCTGCACAGAGAATTGTCTATTTTGCCTCCATTTTGAAACCTTTTCTCATGGTGTTTATATTGACAAGTTTAACTGAATTTTTGAAGGCTCTTATCACATAGTTAGAAAGCCAGGGAAAATTATGATAGTTATAAGTGATTGTTTGCTTAGTGTATGCAATTATTATGTTTTGAGGTACATTAGTTAATTAAATAAACATTTTGTGTAGTAGTACCATTAGTATAAAAAAGTGGGCTTAAGATCCATTGACAGAAAAATGAAGAGGAGGACCTACCCAGGTAAGTACTATATTTATGGTTTTTCATGTGTATTCATTATTGCAAAACTAGCAAAAATGTAAAAATTAAAAACTTATTGGGTAAGATGATAAAAAAAGTGATAAAAAGTATTCACAAGGTTTGCTCGCAAACAGTTCATGCAGTACCTAATTTGATACAATTCGATTTAAGCATGTAAGATAAACAATTGTAGTTTCATGTTACAATTTGCAGTCATTCTACAAAGAAAAAATGGGAAACTTAAATTTATTTCATATTTTTTATGGTGTTTATGCAATTGGTCAAATTCACAAAATGGGTATAGAGTTAGGGTAGAGAAAAAACAAACAGATAAAATGTAAAGTTTTATGGAAAAAATGTTTGATATTAATTTAAGAGGTTTTAGAGATTATGCAAATGAAATTGCATAATTTTCTGATAAGGAAAAGTATTTTTAATCTTAACATGAAAATCACTTTGCATTTGTAGTAGTCAACCATCTGACTACATGTATTCACAGACAAATCTTTAGTAAAAGTACTTAATTAAAACATCTGATTTTTCTTTGTATGAAAGACGTGTTTACTGAAAGCTTGCCATATTTTGTGAAGATACACAAAACATATTAAAGTTGTAGTATGAAAACTCTGATAATGGATTAAAACTTGGTTTTCAATGATCTACATTTTTCAATGCCAGGTTAATTTGTATACAATGATAATAAAGTAGTTTAATTCAGTTTTGAATATAACTCTATTGAAAGAGTTAAGCCATTATAGGAGTGTCTGAGGTTGAGGAATCATTAAAAAACAAAATCATATCCTGTCCTGTATAATATGATACTTTTTTCTGTTTGAATGGATTTGTTCAGTTAGGACTTGTATGTTACATATATATCTGCAGTTGTCCTGGACAGTATACCACCCTCTGTATGGTGCTTCATGAAAAAATCATGCCCTTTGAAGTAAACATATGTGTCTTCAAGTAGCACTCTAGATATTGTAGATCAGACTCCCATTCACCATACAATGTCTTGTAGTTCCAACCAAGATGGGGGTCACCTTACAGATGTGTTTTATCTTTTCTTAACCTTATTTGGTGTTCCCATTACACTGTCTTAGAGTTGTCTAGCTCATCCTGGTCTCTGCATAGTCTTTTCAATTCTTCCTGAGTACCAACTGACTTGGTGCTCACTAACTTCATTATTCTTTCAATAAAGTGTAGCACTTTTAATATATAAAACATAACATTTTATATAAATAAAATTCATGAAAATTTTGAGCTCTGTACATGACTAAAATGCACAATCCTAACACTTCTTGTGATTTACTTCCCAGAAAAAAAAATCCTTTTTAGAAAATGTTCACTTTTTTCTAAATTTTTTATAGTGAGGTATGAATACTATGATTAGTGATTACTACCAGAAACAGCTGCCCGTAGGGTGGGTGTTTCTTCTAGTACATTAAAAGTAAAATGGATAATCAGATTGTTCCACTGTTTCAGAATCACACAGGAATAAATCCTCAAGCATGCCATGCAGGTGTATTTTTATCCAAAGTTCTAAACTTTTGTATCCATTATTTGCCACGTATGATATGACTCAGCAAGTGATCTTTAAGTACGTTCGAATTTTGATGCATAACATGAGGCAATATGAATAAAATTAAGTATAAAGTAAAAGAAAAAAACAAAGGCTTTAAATAGTGGTTAGGAAATTTTTAACTGGTTAGGGCTTCGATCAAAAACCATAACTGGTTATTCAAGTAATTTTGTCACCCTCAGTTATTTGTATAACATTATTGTATTAAAACTGTTGGAACACAAATCTAATATTAAATTAAATCTTGATGAGGAGTATGTGCAGCTAAGAGAGAGATTCACACACTCTTGAGTTTACAAGTATTTTTAAATGGATACATTACATGTGAAGGTATTTAGATTTAACAAATTTATGTTTCTTCCAGGCAATTGAGTGTATGTGTAGTTTGGTTATATGCGAAGTGGTTAGATATATTAAAAATGTTTGTTGGTACAAGGTGTTTTCTTTTTTTTAAACAGACACATGGAATTAAAGATAACTTACTTAAAAATAGGTTACTGTACTCATTATTCATTGTCTCAGAAGAATTACTTTTTGTCTCTGGAGACTAGTACCAAGAGGTATAATACTAAATGTTGATGGGGTCAATAATCATTGTCATGTAGGAATATTAATGAGCTAGTTGAATATTTTTCTAAAAAGAGAAACAGTGTGTAAGACTTTTGCAGTGGTTGTAGATAACCACATGGGTCAATAAATGCATGTCTGAAACTATACACTTATCACTTCTCTATTACAATGGTACAAAATGAAAAACTATATCACAAGCATTAACAAGGTTCAATAACCTATGTATATGTATACATGTTAGGTTATATATGTTAGGTGAATATTTGTTAACAGTATGTAATGAAAAATGGTTTATTATTTTCAGTTCATTGGTAATAGTAGACATAGAGAAGTGAAAAATGTGAAAGTGAATGTTTTATTGTTTAGCCCAGAGCCATTGGTGGTCATGACATGTAAACTCCCACCACCACCACATAGAAGATTCCATTTTATTTTTTGAGGAGTGTAATATGTGCCCGATTCTTGATTTTACCCTGATAATAATTATTCACATTGTTTAGGAGATGAGAAGAAGAAGAAATGAAGTAACTGTGGAATTAAGGAAAAGTAAGAGAGATGAATCACTACTGAAAAGAAGAAATGTTCCAGTAACAGATTCTACAGATGAAGATGAGACAGAATGGAATGTGAATAATTCAAATCTTCAAATGATTGTACAGAATGCAAGTAGCACAGAACCTGGAGTTCAGTTGACTGCTGTCCAAACTGCTAGGTAATGTTTGGCTTGTTTGATTAATTTTTTCTGCTTTGGCAAGCATCAGAATAATAATGTAGCCTTTTTTCACAACTACGTTGTTTAGAAACACTTTCTCTACTGTTTTAACAATCAGTTATCATGATTAAGGTTTATTTGCAAGTATATTAGTGTTGAAGTAGCTTACAATTTAATCTAAATCTCAATTTCTGTACAAATTAAAAGTTATTTAAAATCCTTCAAAGATTGCATGCCATGATATTTTGTTTAATGAAAATAAAAGAGTATGTTGATATCTAAAACTTAAAAGTGCCTATGGAGTTTAGTATATAGATGTTTGATTTTCTGTGTTTGTGCTAGGTTTAAAAAGGTCTTAGCCTAATGGCTGATTCATCTGAACTTGGATTAGCCACAAATATACTCAGTTAGTCATAACAAATTAACTTTACATTTATTGTTTTATCTTAGTGGCTGCATTTATGTCATTAATGCTAGACATGAGCAGATAGTGAAGTTGTTAGAGAGTGGGAATACTATTAGACATGCCAACAATTTTGATACTTTCTGATCTTGTTATTAGCCTAGTGCTATATTTAAAACATGACATTCAGAATAAATTTATAAATGTATAATTCTCTTGGGATATGTGCATGTTACAGTCAGTAGGCCTAATGTTTGACTGAAAATGTTCTAATCCAACCATCAATAGTTACATAGTAATGGCATAACTTAAGTAACAATATAATTGTGACAGTACTGGGTGCGATTGGGGGCTTGAAAATACAAAGTCCAAGCAAACATTGTTGCACATCCATTGCAGTAATGTCATAAATATATAGAAATTTAAATCACATTATGACTGGTGTAAGTATAGCAGCTGCCTACATTTATATAACCAATAAATGTAAACAGCAGCTAAATGACACTAGTCATAATGGGATTTAAAGGCTCTATACTGAATTGTATATAATTTTGTGGTCTGAAAATGTCAACATTTTTACAAAATATTTTGATCTTCTTGCACTTTGGAAAATCTGCAATGCTTACAGACACCATTATAATTTTCCAAGCAACTGTTTCTTTACCATATTTCAGGTCAGCAAGGTACAGCACAAGTTATTCAAATATATAATTCACAATACACTAAAAAATAAATGTGTAAATGTTATAAGCCATTGGAGCTGGTACTATTAAGAGGCTGTTTAATTTCGTGGGTTGACAATATAAGTAAAATGGCAGTCAAGGCATAATAGTTAGAATATTTAATGTCTCCAGTGTGTCAAATAACAAATCCATCAGACTATTCATTTCTGTACATTAAGGTATGAATACAGATAATAATGAGATAATCAGTCAGGGGAAAAGAAGACAAACTTTACAATGATACAGCACAGTTTTATTGATTTTCATCACCACTCTGGTGAATAGCAGTCTTTTCTACTCACCAGTTTGTAACATTAGTTACAATTGGCATATTGGTGAGCATGTAGTGTTAACATAGAATATATGTTTTGTTTTTGCCCTAAGTAAAATAAAAACATTCATTTGTTTTTCCAATAGAAAACTCCTGTCAAGTGATAGAAATCCCCCAATAGATGATTTAATAAACTCTGGAATACTACCAATCTTCATACATTGTTTGCAACAAGAAGACAAGTAAGTATGTTATGCTGAATGTGTAGTATTGTTTGATAGTTTAACCTTAAAAATTGTAATGACTACAGAGAATGTGCTTTAAAGCTTCATTAAATTTGAAATGGTTGAAGTTATCAATAAATGTGCCAAGTGAAAAATAAAAATGAGGACTGATCTTGTGACTATTACATGATCGATATAAAATGTTATGTGACTGTTGTGAGAGACAAACAAATTGTCGAGGCTCATTGCCTAAATGTATCATTCACTTCAGGAATAAGTTTGAAGACTTTTGCTATCACTCTACACATTTTGAATCAAACCACTTTATAAAACAAACGAGGTATTCCAACCGAAGGTCATATAAAGTGACAGTGTTTGAAAGTTTTCGTTTGTAAAGAGGGGATTCTTCAAATGAGTTGCTGAAAGGTTTTTTGAAAAGTTGGCCTTATTAAAAAATGCTCCTAATTGTATCTTTTATTGTATACATAATTATCAACTTTCCAACCTTAAAAATAGAAAAAGAAATGACAACTTTAAACACATTAAGATAAAGAAAACCTACATCATGCTGGTTGAAAAATTAGCTTTTCCTGTCAATATAGATGTATACACTCTCCTGTTAGTTACAGGTGCAATGGGCAGTCGTATACGATAGTTACCTACCTTCATGATTATTCTTTTTCAACCATTTGTTTCCTATTTGAAAAACACAAAATATCTAGTTTTTATCATTCAGAAGCAATCTAACCAATCAGCAATCACGTTTTTCAAGCCACAATTAACTTTAAGGTAATTTCTTGGAAATGTTAAATGGTGAAATAGAATGTTCCATACCTGTTTACCACTTTCAACTGATAGTGACATGCACAATTCATACAATTGGCAAAAAATGCCAACTGTAAAGTAATGGAACATTCCAAATTTCCAGATGCTCTGTTGTCATCCGGTCTTTGGCAACCTCACCAAATAATGAGCTAATACACCAACAGGGAGCCACATGGTGTATCATCCCAAGAACTTTGCGGGAAAAGTTAGCATAGATTTCTGGCAATCACACAATTGTGTATTAGCTCTGTACATAAGGTGCTGTTATCGACTGTTTGCTAATGTACGGTCCATAAAGAAATGAGTTTGCTTTGTGATTGTGCACTGCATTGTTTTTTAACCTTTCTTTCATTCAGTGTATAAATTTATGTAAATAAATGAGAAACAGACATTGTTTGAACTGATGATATTTTATTCTGTGGTGAAAGAAAAAGGAAAAGTACAGAGTCATGATTGTAAGCACACTTACAAATCAGAAGATTGTTGTTTTGAATAAAATGATCTGAGTGGTGTTATTTGTAACTTCTTGGCAAACAGTTTTCCGTAATCTGGAAATTTGACAAATTCTACCGATTATGGAATAATTGGTCCCATTCTAAATGCCAAACTGATTAAACAAGTATTCAAATTTAAACATCGTAAAAGTTGTTTTGTTTTTAATAATGGATTTTCCATAATTCAGCTATGCAGATTTGGAAAATAATATTAATTTTTTTTCTATTATGTAAGGATTTTTTTACAAATTGGGAAGGAAAAAACAACTCTTACTTAAATCAAATTATTATTTTGTTTACCACAATGAACATTTCTTATTATTATATTTGTTAACAAAAGTACAAACAAACTGAAGAAAAGGGAGGAACATTGATGTGAAATGATAATGCATCCTCATTCATCTTGATTTTTGTGTGTGAAATTACATCTTTTAGTCTCAAAACAATGTGTTGTGGTCTTTCTTTTATGCATTGCATCTGGAGCATCTCGTTTCCCCTTGTTCTTTGCTAACAGCACTGAGATTTTCATTAAAGTAGTCAATAAGCGAGTGTAAGAAATGAACTTTCAACCTCATATTACAGCCCAACTCTTTGAATTTATCAAGCATGTTATTGACAATATTTTCGGTCCTGTTGTTTCCTAAAAATTTGTCAATAACATCTTTAAAGGCAGTCCATGCTTTTTTTTTTTCAACTTTCCTCGTTGTTCTTTCGAACTGTTCATCCAAAGTCAATTTCTTGATCTGAGGCCAAACAAAAATCCCTTCTTTAAGTTTCATTTCTGAAAGAGCTGAGAATTGCCTACATAGATACTTGAAACAGTCGTCATCTATGTCAAAGGCCTTTACAAACTGCTTCACCAAGCCCAGTTGTATGTGAAATGGAGGTAATAGGACTTTCTTTGTGTCAACCAAACTTTCATGTTCAATGTTTTTCAATCCAGGAATCAGGCTGACTCTGCATGGCTATTGCTTCTTTATCCAATGCTGATTTTGTGCTTTTCTGTCCCATTCACACAAAAAACATGGAAGCTTTGTATAACTGGATTGTTGACCAAACAAGATACAAAGTACTTGACCTTATTAAGAAGTAGTTTCATACGTTTCCTTCAAGTGAACTGAATAAGCAATAGGAACAGATGAATATATGTTACCATTGTGAAGAACACATTTTAGACTTCTTTTGGAGGAATCAATGAACAATCGCGATTCACATGGTTCATAAACTGCAGCTCCTAACACTGGTATTAATTCAGCAATATTGTTGCACTAACCCAGTGAACATTCTTGCAAAAAGTATGGTATAACTCTTTCTGATGATTTCTGTACCAGTAAAATGATGTCCCTGGAGAAAGTAAGTTCTTAACCTGAAGTATGGGCCCCAAAATCTCTGAAGAATCCTTTGGAAGACCCAAATCTCAGGTTGAAAACAATCCATTTCATCATTTCAATTGACATCAGATTCAGAATCAGATGAAACTGTATCAAGAGTCTCTGGTGAAGTAGGTACAGATATATCAGATCTATGAGCAACAGGTCTTGTAGCAGATTGAAGGTTCGGATAAGAAATTTCTTTCTTATTTTGATTGTTATAGCAGTGATCTCCATGGTTTCTAGGCTCATGCCACCATTATAATTCCAAAAGGCAAATACTTTTTTTTAACCTTTATTCCATTGTCTCAACTCTTCAACACAAACAGCGCAAACTTTGTGCAGAGCCCATGATTTATCTTGGTCTCCAAGTTTTATTCCAAAATATGAGTAATACACTTTTAGAGAATTCTGTAATGTTTGTCTTTGTTTCTTTACAACAAAATTACCTCAAATATAACAGAATATGTTTGGGTCATTTACACAACCTCTTGTTGTCATTGCAATGAATAGATAATATTGAAAAGAAAAGAATTATGTCATGTGACCTGTTTATATACTAGCAGTATGTTTCTCATGGGATCTAGAGTGATCGATAAGACTCACATTGCGATTCATCTAGAGAAATCTATAGCCAGTGGTTACCAACATTTTAAGCCTAACAAAATGTTAGCCGACACTAGGCAGCTGGTACATAATTGAATAGAGTTGAATAGTGTCGGCTAACAATATAAAGAATTAAATTGTGGTGGAATGCTACAAGTTCTTCAAATACCTATAGAATGATAGGTTTCTTTTTTGTGAGTGTATCAGACTTAAATACACCATTTCGATTTTCGATACCTCACTACTATGAAGGCTTGGTTTAGTCTGAAGTTTCATTGGTGATAGTGTCCAGCATCACTGATGAGGAGTGGAATTCTCCAAAACTAGTCAGGCTCGCAGACACACCCCCAATGAAGGAATAGACCATTCCAAGCTTGTTCGTAAACAAATGTTTAAACAACTCTATTTAATCATGTCTAACTACTATTCACACTATTATATGTTATAAATCACTTGGGTAAGGTGCAGCTCACATTACAATATTGAATTACCTTGTCCACAAGCTGCTCATGTGTGTGCCTCATGAAACATTTTTATTATATTATTATTACTTATTTTATCTGATATAACCTTAACTAACCTAAAGAGATCACAATTTTTACGTTTTTGTTACTATTATGATAATAAATAAAGAATTAACATGAAAAACAAGAAATAAAGTACTTACCAAAGTATTCTTTTATATATATATATATATATATAACTTAACCTTACTTTTTATCCTAATAGTAGTAGTAGTAGTGCATTAAATAATTTTTATTTAATTAAATAATGCATCAAAGAACATAGATTAATAACATGCAAAAAGCAGACAATTTCCACTAACAATCATAATTTTTCTGGCTTTCTAACTATGCCACAAGAGCCGTTACAAATTCATCCATGCTAGTCGTTATCTTTCCCATGGGAACTAAGCTTGTATTACAAGTGAAATTGATTATTATCTGTTCAGAACACAATGTAATATAATACATCATTTGATTGATGAAAACACTGGCTTTCTATTGGTTATAGATGATATATAATTACATGTAAGAGAGAACTATTAACAAATCCTGAAAGAGATGATGTGGCAAGAGGTGGGTATGATTTTCTGTTTGATAGCTATGTAGCCAAACAAAATTGAAGGTTATAAAATTATGGTTTGTCTGAGCAATGACATTTTTATAGTGAGTAATATACATTTAATTTTGTAGTTATTGGAGGGGTGGTGGATAAAGTAGAGAAGAGGACACCTAGAGAAAATGTATCAGGGGTCAATCTAGTGGAAACTCAGGATTTTTTTTTAAATATTGATTTCTAGAATTAAGAACTTAAAACTTGTATACTATTAAAATATGGATTATTAGCTACAATTTTATGCTATACTAATTTGTATAACATAAACAAAAAGTAGTTTAAAAAAATTTTGAATGTAAGAGACTAAAACCTCGTGTCACGTGCAGTAAAAGACACTTGTGGCGATAAGGTTAATAAAAGAACTTATAATTTATTGAAAAGAAACTATGTTATATATACATACACTAATCTTAACCAAGACTATTGTTAGTTAGCCTAAAATGTCAGGTCCTAAATGTTTGTCACATTTTTCTATAGTTTGTACTTTTTTCAATTTATAGCTGTTAGTGGTGACCATTGCAATTAGCAAACAAACTTATGAAGAGAAGTATGTTAGTGAATATCATTCAAGTTAAAATTGAATGGATATATAAAAATGAAACTTTCTGATAGTATTTAAACTAATTTTGATTGTAAGGTGATAGGAAAATTTTTTCATGTTTTTTCAAAATAGTGTCCCCCTACAAAATTTTTGAAATTTAACTATGTAAAAAATGACAGTGTAGCCAAATCAAATTATATTTTGTTGTTTTTTTAACTTGAAACTAATACTGTTTAGTAAGGTTCTAAGTTTCATGCAATTTGTTTTAGTATGTTCACTGTGAGAAGGAAAAAGTCAAGGGACATCAGTGACAACCCAAGATAATGCATATTCAGGAAATTTACATTTTTATATCATAATGTTAATTGAGAATTTATTGTTAACAGATTTTCATACAGTAATGCATCCATCTGGTTTATTTATTTTACTTTTTTTTAGTCCTTCCTTGCAATTTGAAGCAGCATGGGCTTTAACAAATATTGCTTCAGGTACCTCAGCTCAGACACAAGCAGTTGTCATTGCAGGTGAGAATGAAAAAGTAGCATTAACATATAGTGTGCATAGTTTGTTTATCCTGCAAAAGTGTTATTTATTTATTTTACTCAACTATCTAAAAACAGAAAAATTAGTTTGGAGAATGAGTCAGTTCAGAATATTTTGAAATTTTTTACTGGTAACTTTAAGTTTAAAAAAAACACTATCTCAAAATTGAATTTAAGTGTACAAATTCTAATTTAATTTGCTATATTCAAATTATTTTGAATTTTAACATTTAACTTATTTCACATTTGTTGAAATTAAACATTATTGTGACATTATCATATTTGCCCAGTTTTATAAGAATATGGTTTTATTACACTCCAAAAATTAATGTATGGGTTAACAGGGACACTCTCTTTTTCCAGGTTCTGTTCCCTGGTTTTTGAATCTTCTTAGGTCTCCTCACCAGAATGTTTGCGAGCAAGCTGTTTGGGCTCTTGGAAACATTATAGGTAAGTTTTATCATATTTTTTGCGTAAGGGAAAATAAAATGTGATCTTCTTATAATTAGTAAAAAAAAAGTTTAAAAGTAAAAATTTTTAAAGAAAATATTAACAAAAGGAAAGTATAGAGTAGTTTGTCCAAATTAGATTATCATTAAAAGGGTGTACAATAGCATTTCATCTAGATTTTGTTTATGAGGAGGTAGGTTTATCCAGTGACAGACAGAGAGGTGGGGGGTCATTCTCACTTTTCCCCAAGAACATTTGTGGCTCAGTTTTCTATTTTGTGCAAGTTATTGTTTGCATTGCTTTGAAAGTGAACCAGTTGTACAGACTTCTGTTTCTTTGTACAATGTAAAATTTGTAAAACCCTTGGAAAGTTTCAGTTCCAATCTTTTCGGCCATGTCTCAGTAACCAAAAGCCTACTTGTTGATTCATGTTTTTAATCAGTAAGTGGTCAGACATTGCAAATCTGTAAGTTTCTGCAGAATTATGTCAGATTGGACTTTGTGTACTGTATTTCTATGTTTATTGGGTATTCAAATACTGTATCACTTTTTTCTGTGGAGTTTGATTATATTGAAAAAATTACTTTATATACAAGAAAAGTACATATTTTACAAAAACAAATCACTGAGCCAGGAGCCAATCAGTCGCATTTCTTTTAGGCACCCAGAATTTGTGTACTAGGACATATTTAATGAGATTTTTCTGTTCAATAACTGAATTAAAAAGGCCTTCTATGCTATAGTGCCCAAAGTGTGTTAGTATGGTTAAAACTGTCTTACTTTGTAGAGATAAGTTCTTTTCCTTTTTATAACTGTTGTATTGTCTTAAATAATTTTTATTCAAATAAATGTACTTATTGTAAAAAAAATGTATTGAATAGAAAAAACTTACTTCTAATATAAATTAGGATTTTAATCAACTTTATAATTTTGAATTTTAAAATTAATCATATCAGAGGGCAAAAGTTTATAAAGTGGGAATTTTGCCCCTACATATTTTTTCTTCACTTTTACTATGTTCATTGTATCCTACCAATGTTGAAAACCACACAAATGAACAGAAAGTTTCTTTTAATTTTAACCATATGAGATTGGTCAAATAGACTGAACCCATACAGAGATTGATTAGTGAAAATAAGAGATAAAGTATAAAATGTTTTCTTAAGAAATATTTTTTAATTGTCTGGATGTTATAAAGATTACACATTTGAAATTCTAAACTTTTCTGGTGCATAAAAGTATTTTTAATCTTAAAATGAAAATTACTTTGCATGTTGGATAGGAAACATGTGAAAAGAAAAAAGGCATGGGAAAAACCTTGCTTAACAAACCTTAATACTTAATAAAAAACATTGATAACTGTAATTGCAGTCATTATGAAACATACAATTGTCTTTGTTTTCCTTGATTCTTTAAATAAAAAATTATTTCACATTGGATTTATTGACTTTAGAATGCTTAAACGTGGTGTTGCAAGGCAGTGTCCACATAAAGTGGAGGATAAAGTGTATGTTTTTAAATTGGACTTACCATCCATTGTTAGAAGCTCATTATTATGAAAATTATGAAGTTGGGAATTAGTGCATAATCGTGATCATTAAACTAATCAGAGTCAATGATGAAGGAAGTAGTTCTGAAGGACAGCACAGGTTGTGGAACATCATTTTCACAAAGTGTGATTAACTTCATTGTACATACAAAGGAATGAGTATTGGATGAATATTTTAATACTTAAAAGTAAATAAAAAACATTTGAAGATTAATTTTAAATAAAAATAAAAATTAATGAATTTGGAGAAACTTACATTAAGTGTAGCTTTTTCACAATTCAGTGAGCGAGCTTTATTTAGAATTTTACATGTTAATTGCCAGAAGAGTCTGTCAATCAAATTTATATCTGTTTGTTTTGCTTTATATGTAATACTTTAGAAAAGAATGAAACCAATAACTTTTGTACATTGTTTTTTTTCTGTAGGAGATGGACCTCAGCTTCGAGATTTTGTTATCAGAGCTGGTGTAATTCCACCTCTTCTTGCCTTGATCAAACCTGACACCCCACTTTCTTTCCTCAGAAACATCACCTGGGTGATAGTTAACCTTTGTCGAAATAAAGAACCACCACCACCCAAAGAAGCAGTTTCAGAGATTCTTCCTGTTCTATGCATGCTAATACATCACACAGATATCAATGTAACTGTTGACTTTTTGTATACTTAAACAAGTTCTTTGGTATTTTCTTGCATATTTATGCTAAAATCAGATTTATTCATTTTTATTCTGAAATGTATTTCTAATAATATAATCTCATATAAGTGCTAAACATGTTTTTTGTTTTAATAATTTTGAATAAGTATTTAAAAATAGTAGAATAGGCTTTTGTAAAATGTTTTAATTATTCTAAAAGAAAAATGCTTATTTTACAGTAAAAATTGAGCTGTTGAAAATATAACTGTTTGGTAATTGACTTTTTTTGCAGATTTTAGTAGATACTTTTTGGGCAATATCTTACCTAACTGATGGAGGAAATGAACTGGTACAGGTAAGTTTAACCATGTATGCAATTTTTTGACTTTTTGAAGTCTCTATGGGTTATTCTCAAGTTTTGCCTAAATCCAGAGAGAAAATATGGGGAATGTTAGGGTCATTAGTTGTTAGGATATTAGCTAGAACTTCAGTAAATATTTATCTCAGTCCTATCACTTCCTGTTCTATTGTATCTGTGGGTTTGAAAATCTTTCTCTTATTATTAGATTAACATTAGTGATATTTGAGAATAAATCATTATGTGATTTTGGTTTGTGCTGTTGGTCCTAATATAAAGGAACTGCTTGAAGTAACCAGTTTACATTAGCAATACACATTGCATCCAAGTTTAACATCTTCATTGTGTACATGTTATGTGTTCTATTGCTATCCTTCATTAAGTTTTGAAGGTGACAATGAGTGGCAAAGATTAACCTTACCAGAGAGAACCATGGTTGGGGTTCGTGATGTAAGTAGTTCTATGCTGATTCATCAGAAACGTGCAACATTTTCTTTCTATATAACTCATATGCAAACTCACTACATAAAGTTACTTTAAAGTAAGACTGTACATTTTGTTAATTACTCAGTTAATCAATGTTTCACCAAACTTATTTGCTACCTCTTTGAAATGTTGTTATAAAAACAAGTTAACTGCCTATTTTTTATTTCATATCTATTCTTTTGTCTCCCACAAGTCACTGCCCAATAAGCTTTTCATTCAATACCTGAACTCATCAATTGGGCTGGACAATATGAGACCAAAGATTCTGTAGAAGCTATTTATATATATATGGGTAGTATAATACTGTAAAAGTTATAGTGTAAATGCCAAAAGCTGGCAAAATATTGGAAAACAAATAGGCCTAAAGATTGTTATAAAAACAATTTAACTAAAGAAATTTTATAACAGTTTTTAGGCCTGTTTATTTTTTGATATTTCACAGGCTTTCAGCATTGAAACCGCAATTTTTTATAATTTTATGAAATTGGTAGTGTCATAGGTTTTTTTATTGCATTTATAGTAGAAAAGTTTTTTTTAACTATTAAAACTATCTTATTGTAGAACTGAACTTTTCAATGCTGGAAATAATGATATGTATGTTTTTAAAGATTTCATCTGTAATCTTGATGATGCTGTGGCTTTAATGGAGTGAAAGGAAGAATATTTCTTCATTAGTACTTATTTATAGGAAGCTTAAAATTAGATGTTTCTCCATAAATGCACAAACAATTATTTATTTTTTTCCATAAAAATTTGAAAAGTAAAACCTTGAATTTCAATGGAAATGAAGACAGCTGTAGGTAGAGTTCTTAATCTATTCCCTCACTAGAACTGTGATGTTATTTGTGTTACAAATCTTCTAACTAATCAGCTGAGATTTTATACAAGACATTCAGTCTTTCTGTCTCTTTGTTGTCTGTGGTATACAGGGTTCATATGAGTGAAATAAATACCTAGGTCTAAAAGGACCTTGAAAAATTATAATCAAGAATTCTAGAAATCTGTAATTCCTCCAAAAAGATATTCTAATCAGAAATTTTATAGTGTCAGTAAGTAAAACATTTTTATTTTGAGTCATTATTTATTCACTATTTTAAATCCTGTTTCTCATGATTCATCATCACCTTATTTTCTCAAACAACAAGTTATATTTGCGAAGGTAATTGTATCTAAGCCAGCTTTGTTACTATATATGTTCAGTATGTGGTTTCCATTTCAGCTAGAAGCACATATAAGGTAATTTAATTAACCAGACTTCAGTGGATGGTAATATGTGGAGTGGGGAAATGTTTTGTTATCTTTAGTTTACAACACATACAGCAAAGCAGTTTTGTGTGCTGTAAAGCATGGCTGTAGACTTGTGTTTAAAGTTCTTGGCTTTATATTATCCATTTCCATACTTTCATATTGCAAAGAGTTCTTATTTTGAGTTCCATTGCTTAGTCTTTTTCATAGAAGGATTTGTATGCTCATTTGTTCTGGTATTCCATTAATAATTGTGAAGTAAACTTAGTAGGTATGAGTGAATACTTCTACTGCTCTAAATAATTGATGTTTTTGGGTGCAGGGACAAAAATGTCTTGAAAATGTCCTGCAGTTATGTTCCTGGTCTAGTATGTGAACCATGGATACCTATTCATTCAAGGCTTAGAATCTGTTTACACTCTACTGTAAGTTTACATGTACTTGTGCAGTTTGAGTTAAATATATTTGATTTCAAACTCATGGGCCAGCTCTAGCATCTAGAATATATGAAGAAACTGATTGAATAGGTTACTATTAAGTTTAAACTAGAAATGTATTTATAGAACAATAAATGAGAAATGTAAAAGTAAATAACATCAAAAGGCAAAAGACAGCATTGTGGCAATATCTTATTGGATGTTTCAGATGGTAATTGATTCTGGTGTGGTGCCTCATCTTGTTCCATTTCTCAGCCATAAAGAAGTTAAGGTTCAGGTTAGTATATAAAAAAAATCTGTGACAAAAGTATTGTCACTTCCCATATTTCTTGCTTGGTAATCAGATTAAATGTTATATTAAAACCATAAATATATAAGTTATTGGTAAAAACATTTTGGGATTTTTAAATGTAATATTGCTTCAAAACTATCATTTAGGATAAAACTAAATGATTTTGATGACATTATACTGGCCATTTCTTCCTTTGCTTTCATAAAAATTAGTAACTGACAAATGTCATGATATCTGAAATGTTGACACTTAAAACATAAAGCATGAGAATCATTTAATGTTTTTAAACCTAAATTAGTTTGATAAATTTACAGTTTATAATGAAAAAATACAATAGGACAAAACTGTATACTGTGCCATTACACAAAATAACATTGACCTGAAAACCAGGTTTCTCACATGCTTATTTATGTATAACCAAAACTATAATCACAGGTTTATTAAATAACATCTTGCACTAGCCCACTTTGTTAAAGTTCCAATAAAGTATATGTTGGTAAAACAAATACAAAGAGATAATACTTGTTAATTCACTCTCTTATGCATGCTGAGACGAGTCCATCCTGCCTTCAAGAAAGTTGCATCATTGAATTAACAAAAAAAAGTATAGAAAATATATATGTAGTTCTTTTTCCATACATAAAAAAAAACCTTCAGATTTTAGATTTATTCAATAAAAATCTTATTTGTTGAGTTTTCTACATTAAAATTTAAATCACTAATTTTGACTTGGGGTAGATTTCAGCATGATCCTAATGAAATCAGTAATGTTTGCAAACATCTAAATTTTTTGTGAACATAATATGGCACTTCTGGCTTCTAGGAGGAAATTCATAATAGTTTTGAGCTACTTTGTCCTTGTATCTTGAATGCAAATGTAGTTTTATTTGTATTTTAGTCAGTTAATGTTTCTCAACCTCAGTTGTCATTGTGTAATGTAATTGGCTATGTCTCAACTTTAAGAAGTCATAGGCTACTGATCTAAAATGTAATGAAAGATAATTTTCTATTCTTTACAGCTGTAGAAGCTAAAAAGGCTTCTAGTTCAGAAGAGATTTGTATATAGATCAAACAAAATGATAAAAGTTTAGTTTGGTGATATGCTGCTAGAAGAAAAAGTGTCTTGACTTTGTTTTTTTATCTTAAAGCTTGATTTATCCTGTTATATTTAATTTGAATTATGGTGTTGAAGTATGATAGAAAATGTTTTTGTGGAACAAGATAAGGTAGGCTTAGGTAAGTCATTTGCACTCAACCATATGAAATTTTGTTTCATGACAAGGACACTATGTTAGGCCTTGTTTGCAGTAGCTGTTATCAATCTAAGTAACTGCTTGAATGGACAAAGAAAATCACTGAAAAGAAATGTAGAAAAAATAATATATAAATTGGGTTTAAGACATATATATTAAGTGAAACTTGATTAACAAATTAAAAAAGCTTGCTTATAGTTTTGGTATATTCATAAATTTATTTTCATTGTGACAGTGATTGCTAAATACTGTGAAACTGGGTGTCATTTTTCAACTAAAAATAGAGATAAATTTTACAGTTTTATAAAATAACTTTATAGAAAAGTTTAAAGAATGTAAGAAGACATAAAATTAGTAATTAAAGAGGTAAGAATTTTTTTTCTTACGAAACATGTCACAATGAAATCTTTTTTAAATTTCAAAACTGTGAATTCATACAAGTATCACATAAAAAATAAGACATTTTGTTTACAGAAGATACATTATCTGTAGAAAATAATTCTTGAGTTTCAAAGCATTTATTCCAGTAGGTTTTGAATTGACCAACCTAGCTCTCATAGAGTTAAGAATTACTTATCTAGTCTATTTTAGGTCATGCTGAGGGAGAGTCTGCTGTAAAACTTATCAGGGCCAAATTACTAGCAAGAGTTACTGTAAAATGAAAAACAACTGCAAAAGTAATTTTTTCAACAAAATATACAGTGTGGGAGCCAATAAAATTAGTTTATTGATCTTATGTAGCATTTGAAAAACTATTATCAAGTTAGATTATTTGAAGAAGCGATTAAAAAAAAAGGCTTCTGACTTATGCCTAAACATTTAAATATTTATAATCCCTTTAAGGAGGAAAGAATTTGTATGGTAGATAGATTACAAGAAAGAAAGTTATTCCAGCTTTTAGACAACTTCCATTTGATGTTGTTATCTTCAAAAGTTTTGATATTGTAAAAAAAAAAAGATGTGTTGGTAATTAAATTTTTACAGTTTTGGGCAAAACTAGCTTTAAAGAATTAGTTTTCAAACTACTTGTAAAGTAATTGTTCATTGTTAAGCCCTGATTAATCAAACCAAGTAAATCAAACAGGAGTATTTTTGTATGCTGTTAACAGTGAATTGTTATTGTCAAGGATCAAAATCTTTAGTAATTTGTGAAAAATTACAGCTGAATTAAGTATATTTTTGACACTATGGTTAATGGTAAAATCTTCTTTTCAAAATATTGACTAATTCTGTTACTACCAGTTTTCCTTACAAACTAAAGCATATATTTGTAGGCAAAAAGTTCAGTCTCTTTGATCTACACGAGTTTTAAAATGTTACTAAGTAAGATAACTTATCTCTTAAAAATCGAAACATACATAGAATAGCTAACTATGTACACATTTCTAGACTTCTTTTGATTTTCAGTTTTAAAAATACTTTCAAGGCTAGAATCAGAACTATTCATCTCTTATCTATTCTTTTTTGAAAATGTATTTAAATAGCCTAGTAGTTAATTTAATCTATATCTGAAACACTTTGAAGTAAAATAAATATAAATAACATGAGATAACACACAGTTTATTTTTGCAGACAGCAGCTCTAAGGGCTGTAGGAAACATTGTCACTGGAACTGATGAACAGACCCAAGTGGTGCTTAATTATGATGCTTTGTCTCACTTCCCAGCATTATTAACACACCCAAAAGAAAGAATCAACAAGGTAGGTAGTTATTTGTTTTGAAGATTTTATTTTCATGCTGACCTGTTTTACAGGGTACAGCAAAGTTTTGTTTGCAAGATGAGATTAAGAAAACTTGAATATAATAATAATAATACCTAAAATAGATGTAAAATGATAGTGAGCTAAAAGATCTAACTAGAAGTACAGAGTTTGAATATGTTATATTAAAATGATTTTTGAGACCATTTTCATTACAGTCTTTTCTGCCATGTCCAGTCATGCTCTGTCTAACAGCTGTGCATTTTGACAGTAGTCCTTTACCATAGTTTTTATTTCAAAAGGCTTCATCATGAGACTGTCATATGAAACATACTGTCATTCATTCCTTGTTTTCCATAATCCAAGAAGAAGATAGTTTCTCATTGGCCATTTCTTCAGTTCTAATTGCACATAAATCCATAGGTGCTGTGTATGGAAACTTGACTAATATATCATCATATGGAATAGCATGAATACCCATTTCATTCTTCAGCTGCTTGAGGTATATGATAGCTGAACAAGTACATCGTGGAAGCAACTTGCATACATGACGTGTATTCCCTTTCCTGGTGGAGATCTTTCTTTATTGTGTTGCATGTTATTGTTTGGGACGTAAGGATGAATTTTGTCACTGACCTTTGTGTTCATGGATTTTCACTTCTTACAAGATGCCACACTTTGTTTAACACACCTGGGGTAGAACTTCTTACAGATCTCTTTCTTGTTGGTCCTAAAACCCCAGATTGATACACATTCTGTACTTACTTGCGAAATATCAAATAATGTCAGTATGTGGCTCTGATACATCCTTTCCACTATGATTCCACTTTTATACAGTGTACTCAACCCTTTGTATAAATATTGTCTATTTAATGTCACTGGTAGTAATAATTGTCCAATCAGATAGGTAATCTTTTATATGCAAACTAGTATTTTAATACTTTGAATACACTACCAGTAAAACAGTCATCGTAAACTAATGGTTATTGATATGGAATAACATATACCTGTAACTATGTATTTGTGACTATACCAGAAACTAAAAAGTAAGCCACTAAATTTTTAATAATTTCAGCAGCAAACATAAAGTTAGGCTGAAGACAGTTGGCAGATTAAAAGCATCGGCATAATATACGAAAATATAAAAAAATATATAAGACAAAATATTGTCAAAGCTTTGTTAAATAACACCATTAATACAACACTAACTATAATTTTTTTTTTTTTTTTTTTTTACTTATGATGACTTAGTAAGTAGTAAAAAAACTAGATGATAACTAAGTTTATTTTGAGGGACATGATGATACTGGACAGCAGTTGCTCTCATTTGACCTCACTAATTATGATATTTTTTAAGAGTAGTTTGTAAAATATAGTTGTTGGACATAATGTTGATATACTTAGCTATTACTATATGTTTTATGTTATTTTTACTATTTCTTTGTATGCATGTGTGTGTGTGTGTGTGTCTAATGCTGGGCTTGAGAAAACTGAGATAGAGAATAGAGTGCATCTGAGGCTTTAGAGAGTCGGTGATTAGGAACAAGACCCCCAGCCGAGTAAAAGAGGTAACATTTTAAACTATGGAATGTGTGACTTTTTATATATCTATATTTGTATACCCTGTACAGATATTTGTAATATCCAAGGAAAACATCATTGCCGTAACAGTATTAAAGTAGTTTAAATGTAATTAAAATTATTAATATACTTATTTCTTAAAGCTAGCACTTAGTTTAGTTGATAAAGCTTTGACCTTTAAGTATTTGACAGTAGTATTAGCTTTATATTATTTTAAGTGTTAATTGTGAGCTTTTTATGATGTGATGAAAAAAAGATTCAAGGATCCAGGAAGATAAGTATTCAGTATTGTTAATAGCTCATAGTTTACAATTAAGTATTTGGAAGAGTCCAACCAGTCTGTCCTCATGTTTCATTGCCACAGTGGGGTAGCAGTGAATGTTGCCTACAGTGGCTGAACATGTTTTCTGATCCCTCCGTTTTTTCTTTTTGACTAGTAGAATTAGTTGAATTTTAGGTGGAAATGTGTGATACAAATATGGGTATTAATACTAGGTACTACAGAACACCAGTTTGAAGTTAAAATATCGTTGAAATAAAATAAAGTTTAATAATTATCGTAAGAGATATGATAAATTGTTAAATTCTTATCATACCATACTTAACCTTAGAATGCCATACAAATTAAACCTGTATACTATTAAACTAACCACCCTGGCATTCTAGAGTTAAAAAGACTGTGACTGTTAATATGTTCAAACCTGTATACTTATTAAAGATTATTTTCTGGAATAACAAAGGGAAAGTTATGTATTTATTAACATCTGTAATAATTTATATATATCATCTTGTGATGATAAATGGGAACCTGTGCATTACATGATATCAGTTGGAAACAAACCATAGTTTTTTGTAACCTATATGGCACTCAAATGGAGCTAAAAGTATTGTCTTTATTTATTGTCAACTTTTTCTGTGGTATTCCAGCTGTAATTGGCTGTATCAACCACTGCTGCTCATGTGAAAAGGTCAGGGCTGTGACCTGGTGGCAGGTGAATTCTAGGCATCATAGAATAGATTATTATGAGAGCATCCCACTGTCTTTACCCCTGTGCAACAGTGGCATACTAGTCATCTGTTGATGTTGTATCCATAGAGAATGGATGCTTGAACTATCAAGAGACCAAGTCTTCCATTGACCATAGAGTTGAGATTTGATACAAACTATAAATGTATTTGTGCACAACATTCTCTGTAACTATTATTTTTGTATCAATCAGAGAACCATCCCAAATCTTGTCTTGTTAATTTCTATATACCTGTTGTAGTTTCTCAGCACAAGACCTCCCAGAACATTCCACACCCTGACTGAGGGCCCCCACCCACTGAACCTATAGATACTGAGTACTTTAACAGTAGTGGGTATTTACTATGGCCCAATGTGGGTATCCTTGGCTTACCGTAGTCACTGAACTTAACTATACTTACCTGACATCTTGCCATAGGAGAATATTCCTGCCATTTATAACTTAACATACAAAAATATTTTCAGGAAGGACAATAATGTTAAAAGGAACAATAACAAATTTTGAGATTTGTGATTTGTTCTTAAATGTTGTATACTTTGCATTAGAATCCATTGTTCACCCCTCAACAAACCACAAATTAATGCTAAAACAACTATTTATTGTATATTGACATAGATATATATATATATTAGTCTCTTACACCCAATTGTTTGTAACTATTGGTTCTAGCTATTTTCAAAGCTGAGCTTCATTATAATTGTTCAGACCAGATTCTGCAACATCATAAAAGGGTGACAATGAAGGGTGTAGTAATAAAACTACTCGAAGAGAAGGAAAATCATATTAAAAAAACAAGACGTGAATCATTACAGTTTCAAGGGATGATAGTTTCTCTCCAAATATTAACCTATACTTTGTCACAGAAGTTTTAGAAATCAATAAATGAATTGTTTGCAGATGACACTCTTCAGAGCTATGCAGAAATGAAAGTTGGAACTTCTTTTTTTCTTTGTGAATTACCTTAGATAAATGTTATATGATGATAAAAACTGTACAAGTAGAATTAGAATTATATCTGTTACTTCATTTTTGAAAGTTGATATGCATTTGTGAACTTAACACTTGAAAAGTACATGCCAATCATGATAGAGTTAATGGACTTGGTCAGGTTGATTGACCCCTGATTTGAGAAGTTGTGAATACTTACTTTCATCAGTTTAGTAAGTGTTATGGGTATCTTCATGAAATTAGACAAACTTTTAGTATACATTAACCCTATGTGTATGACGGTCAAAATGCCCATGTCATAACCTCTTTACAAAAAAGCTACATTAAAAATTTAATTAAAACATTTTGTTATCAATGTATGTCAATAAACTTGGCATTGAAACACAGTTTATAATTCAGCTTTCAATGTTGTATAAAGTTTAACTTCATAATTTCAAAAAGAAGTATTTAAATAAGTTCTTAATATTAGTTTTTTCTTCAAATTGCCAGTTACAGATTTTCATTCTACCCATGTGTGATCTTATAAACCTCCAATGAATTACACACTTAGACTACATATGAATACAAGCAAAAATATAAAATTATAGCTTCTACACTTATTGCTTTACTGAGATATATACAATAAAGTGAAACCACATGCCACACCTCTTATATCACATTTTGTCTTTCAAAAAATGTCAGTAATTCTCTCTGACATTTTCTGTTGTATTATTTACAACCAATAAAATTAGAAGATGCTACTTTACTCAGCATGGTTTGAATTATTAGGCCTCAACCAGTAATTGGAAGTTTTAACTCATTTGTAGTTTAGTTTGAAAGCTTAAATAAGAGTAGTTTTAGGGACATTCTGTTATTAATGTTTGATAATATTTTGTCTTCTAAACTGAATATTTGAATTTCAAAAAAAACTTGGAGTGCATCAAAATCAATACCAAAAAAGTATGGTTACAGTAAGTTGTCTGTTCCCTTCTTATGAGTACGAAAACCAATATTCCAAGCATAAGTACAAAGTTTCTTGTTTTCTATTTATTGGTAAGTGTAAAGAAAAAAATTAAAATAACTTAATAGCACAAGCACATCTTGAGGCATGACTGTGTAATTTGACATGCATACTATAATTTGGTGCACACAAATCTATCCTGTTCTGATGAATGCCTTTTCCCTTACTCTGAAGGAATCTAAAGGGAGCTGTAAAGCAATGAAATTAAATGATTCTTGGTTTGAAAGGTATTAACTGGCTGCAGGAATGAATAGTGGTAAGTTAACCGTGAAATTGGCAGCAACTGTCTATTAGAGAAACACTTGTGGAAAGTATTTGTCACTGTACAATTTACTTGTGCAGCTCGAGTGTAGAGGATGATGTTTCCAAATTTTTCTGCCTTTCATCTTCAGGTCAGTTTGTGCAAGCTATTACAGGCCTTATATAGTATCCAGGTGGATTAAGATGGATGTGGGTTGATTGGTTGTTTTATCCTGGTCCTGTCCAATGAACAACCAATCAAAGCATGTCCATCCCAATCCACCTGGATACTATATAACGCCTGCATTAGCTTGCACAAACTGTGTACTTACTTACTAAAGTCAAATAACTATCATAAGCCTTATTTAGAGGATAATTTTTCTCTTTCTGATGGTTATAAACATATCCATTAGCCATATAAATTTAATTAGCAAAACAATCCAGAAAGTCAAAAAGAGAAAAGAGGATCTTCTCTGGTGGATTTCACACATTTATTGATATCCCAGCAAATCAAGAAGTTAGGAAATTCACATTTTAGATCCTTTCACTTGTAATTACATTTGTGTTTGTAATTTTTTGGAAACTGCAGCAGTCTCTATTTCAAGTTAGAAAATTCTGAAGTGAAGAAAATGGAACTGGGACCTGCCACATGACATGGAAAAATGAAAACTGATATTTTCTAAGATGTTTCATTTTTGAAATTACGAAGTTAGAAAGTTAGATAATGTTTTTTTTCTTATAAACTAACCTGTTTAATTAAATTTTGAATGTAATCCTGTACAAGTGCCATGCCCAAATGTGCAGGATTAAACTTCATGTTCCCAATTTATTAGAATAATTTCCTTTGTATGTAACAGATTATCTTCCCTATACCTATGTTTTTTTTGTGAAAAACAAAACAGTTAGTGAGTAAAGAAATTGGTTTAGTTGCTACTAAACCTAATGAAGGTAATGGTATAATTCTTCTAGGTAAATATAACCACCAAAATAAATTTTCTAACACATCTTTTAAAAGTTACCTCATATAGACTCAAACTACAAAATATATATATATATATTACAAATGTTATAAGAATTAGGCTCGGGGTTCACACTGCAATTTTTATTATTATGTACACAAACCAAATTGTCTTTTAGACCAGATGTTCTTACATTCTTTTGATATTATTATTTAAGTAGTTACTGACCATCTTTTACAAAAGGTATTGCACACAGGATGGTTGAATTTTCTTAATGCATGAACAAAAAATTTGATTATACAGAGCAGTTTTGACATAGAATAATTTTTAATAATGATAGATAGTAGTTTCAATTTGTTTTTATGTTTTTGAATGACATAACATACCAAAGATAAATAGTACCAGTTTAAACTTCTCATTAAACTTCAAACATGTTTATGACATTTTTGTTTTTAATATTTGGAAGTGCCGTAAACCTCGGATAGTTTTAGTATCATGTCAGTTAACAGCGTTGTCAAACCAGGCTCACTGCTTAAGAACACAAATTACTGTTTTTAAAATACCAAGTTTTTGAGAGTAATCAGAGATTCAAAATAGAGGATCAAAGCTTTCCAGCAATTTCATACCAGAAAGTTCTAAACATAATATTATCATGATACAAACCACTAAGGCTCAGTAAAGAAGCCCTGAATTTCCTTTATAGGAGAAATTAAGATCTTGAAAGTAAAACTATGATTAAATGAATATCCTATGCTGTTTTCTGACACATGAAATTGTAATACAGACTTAACACCCTCTCACCAAATATTACAATTTCTCTGTTGTTCTCATGTATGGACAATCACTCAAAATATGCAACCGTATATGTAAATTTATTTACAGCCTTAGCTAACCGTCAGATTTACTATTTTTACACATTTGTACTTGCCCTCGATGCTTGGTTGTTACATTGGTTGTATAAGTTGTAACTGTCTGGTCAGTAATAATATTTAGTTTGACATTTCTTTCATATTTTTTTTACAGTTATTTTCATTTGTATGTCAATAATCGTAAGTAAATTTTCAGGAATAAAAACACAGAAAACTTTTAGTTTTATTGGGAAAAAAGTTTGTTAGTTACATTTATAATGTTTTTGGCACACAATAATATAAAAAATGAAAGTCTTACGATGAAAAGGAGTATCATTATTGTTTTTAATACCTCATTTCAGAACATAACTGTATACAAATAAAATAATTTTTTTGCATGGATACAACATATTTTATGTATGATAGAAAGTTTTTAATTTTGTGTGGAGCCAAGTCTAATAAATTTTATTACTCAGATTTTTTTGTAAAGTAATAGCTAAAACATATAAAGTTCCAAAAATTGTTATTCTGAACAAAGTTTTCATTTTTAAAAAAATGTTTAGTTTTGCCTTGTTACCAAATAATATTGAATTACTTTTTAGACTTGTGATTCCACAACTACCAAGCTGGCATGTTCATATATATATGCTTTTTTTTTAATAGATGTGATTTATGAAACATGTAAATGTAAGTTTTTGTAGTCACTGTATATTATAAATTGTTACCAATACTTGCTTTATTTCTCCAATTTTCATTGCTGTTCTACTATATCAAGATATCTCTGCTTAACAAAAATGCAATATTATAGCTTCTGTAAAATATTTTTTTTTTTTCACTGAAATGTACGAGATTTTGCATAATATTCCTAATCACTGTTGCTTGTTTGTTATTTCCATGTGTTTTAATGTTTTGGGTTCCATTCTCAAATGGCATAAAGTAGTGATATTACGGAATAATTCTAAGTGTTTTGACCCATTTATCTTTAAAAACTTGTGCTTTCAATATTTATTGCATATTAGTTTAAAACTTTTTGTAAATGAAACTGAGTCAGTAGCATTTTAATCATAAATACTAAATTTTAGCAATAAACTGCTCTTTTTCTATGTTGTTGGTATTTATTTACAATAAGTAATTAATCCAAGTTATTGCCTAGGCACATTTTCAGAGAACTCAATGCTTGGTTTGTTTATAATTGAATCTGATAACAATGAGAGATATTTTCTTCAGGAAGCTGTGTGGTTCCTTTCTAATGTGACAGCAGGAAACCATCAACAGGTGCAAGCAGTTATAGATGCAGGTCTAATTCCAATGATAATAGATCACCTCAATCGAGTAAGCTATCAACTACAATTTTTTGCATGTAGTTCTGAACTTTTTTACTGGTTTAAACTGAGCAAGTGTCATCTGCATAATGTGCAATACTGGAATTAATTTGCAGATGTGGAAGGTCATAGATTTAGCACATAGTTACCATTCACGTAATGTTTTGAAATGTAGGGTATAATAATTAATAACTGGTTTTTCTAGGCAAACATTTAGTATGTAGAAAGTAAAACAAAAAAAAACGTTTCTTGGGAGAGTTTAGGGTTTGTAACCATTAAGAAGTTTTGCTAGGAAGTGTTTAACCTTTTGCATTAGGTAGGTCAAAATGTGCATGTTATAACCTTTTACAAAGTTACATTCAAAATGTAATTAAGCTACTTTATTATCAATGTATAAAAATATACTTAGCATCAAAATGTAGCTATTAAATCAAATTTTAATACTATATAAATTTTAAGTTCTTAATTTTATAAGGAAATATTTTTTAAGAAATCCTCAATCTCCCCTAGTATGAAAATTGTGGCATTTGCTCTATCGGTCTTCTCTCTTCTCTAATTTATTTACCACCCCTCCAAGAAGTATGGAATTTAACACAAATTATTCATTATAATATAGTTATTACTCAAGCAAAGTATAATTTTTGTAGCCTTAAATCTTATTTAGCTAAAGAGCCATAAACTAGAAAATCAGACCCGTCTTGCCATGCCTACCTGTCACATCCTTTCTTTCACAAATTGCCAATAGTTATCTGTATCATTTAATCTATCAAATTATGTATTATGTAGAGAAAATTGTCTATTTCACTTGCAGTTCAAACTTTATTTCTATGGGAAACACATTGAGGAGCTTAGCTGAAATATTAATGGCTCATATTGCATAGTTAGAAAGCCAGAAAAATTATGATAGTTATAGGACATT